CAAATATTTATTGGAATGTATTAATATGTTATCATTCAACTATAGAAATAAAGCTTTACGAATTAAATTCAACTCGAATTAAGCTCAACGGCATCATTTTGCTGTGTTGCTGTGAAATTCAATCTGCATCGACTTCGGAAACTTGTGCAAATGTGTAAACGTATCTAGTATAAGTAAGAGAATCCAAACACATTTTTATGTGGAACTTGAGTCAGCAGTGAATAATGTTCCACCCCAGCTGTACTGCGCCTCTCTCTGTAAGGTGTCTGCGGCCCATACTAGAGGAGTCTGGACACTCCCTCGGTCCAGGTCGGTGAAGGGCTGAGGGGGGCGGCTCTGACAGCGCTTCTTTGTGTGAGAAAAGGAAGAGACCACACCCCCTCACTCTTAAACCACGCCCCCTTTGCTCATGACATCATAGCCAATAGTTAGACAGAGCAAGAATTTTGACTCCTGGGGACAGACAGAAGAGAGAGAGGCATTGTAGGAGAACGGACGGAAGCGGTGTGGGATGAGTGAAGCATGCGGGACACACACACACACACATGAGGAAGAGGGGCGGGGGTGGAAGAAGTGGCCAGGAAAAGCCCTGCGTTGTGTTGTCCTGGGCAGGGTTTCACTGGGTCTCCTCAAAGGTTTATAGTTTGTGGAGTTGGAGGACGACTGTTTCTCAGATTTGTCAACAGGACACTCAGGACTTCTAGTCTGTGCTGATTTTTCTTTTTAAAATAAAGGATCTCTAATTTTGTGGCAGAAGTCTGTTTACAAATTTGGAAAAGTATGAAAAAGGTAAGGAAAAACTTTAGAGTTTGGGTTAAGACATCTGGGCCTAAATGTAGAAGGTCTAGTTTCAGATTTGCTTCGAGTCTGAGAAAAGTGATTGCACATTCATAGCTCAGAAGATTTAACTGAGGTCTCAGTTGTGTGCGTTCTTAAAAATAAAGGTTCTTTATTGGCATCTGTGTCTCCGTGAAGAACCTTTAACATCCAAGGAACGTTCTGTTCCACAAAAAGTTCTTTATAGTGTAAAAAGGTTCTTTAGATTATTAAAACGTTCTTCACACTAAGAAAAAAAATGTTCTTTTAAGAACTGTTCACTGAAAGGTTATTTGGGGAATCAAAAATGGTTTGGAAAAAAACTTTTGGAACCTTTATTTTTAAGAATGTAGAGCTATAATATTTTATCCTGAGATTTCTTTTTTCTTCTCTGAGTTCATGTTGATTGCAGACTTTGGTATCTGCATAGAGCTGAGTTTGAGAAGTCTTTAGGATCTCTTCTTAAACTTCCATAAGCAGGAGCCTTAATCAAATGTCTCCATTTGCTTTTCATTAAATCCAGTTGAGCGGTGATTGAGATCATCTGAACTCCTGCGTTCTCTGTCTGCACTGGCAGAGTTAATAATCCTATTTCAGGAGTCTTTCATCAGCAGTCGTGTGATGGGTCGGTCTGTACTGACTGCACAGTGAGCTGCTGAAAGCCATGCTGAACACAGGCATCTTACGTAAACCGTTAAAAATTAGGAATTTTTCTGTTCTTTGACTTGCTTGGATGCCTGAAAAGAAATTTTGAACAAACCAAGTGACCAAATGAACTTTTCCGGATTGCCAAACACTAGCTGAACATGTTCATATTGGTATAAACTACGCCTGCGGTTACTCAAGTACATCTGTGTGTACCTGAGTGAAAATTACATTATACCTTCATTCAGTATCACTTGGAGAGCAGTTGATGAAAAGTCATTGTTCAGAAATGAATGAGAAAAACTGCTTACTAATGCCACTTATTGTAATGATACCATACATAATGTACATACATTTCTAAATATGCCAAAAGACAAAGATAAAACCCATGACCAAAACAGAATACAGATGGGTGTACAGCTCAACAGATCCAAAAAAATCATAATAAGCTCCAACCAAAATTGTATTGTCCTTCTGGTGGAGTCGTGCACTTTAACTGTGGTTCACTCCAAAAGAGCGATATCTGAAGATAGGACATTCAAGCTGGGATAGATGGATCCAAACACAGTTTCAGCGTAACTTTTTTAGCAGTAGTACAGGCAGCAGACAGAATCCTCCTTCGATTTACAGACAGTGACAATGCAGCCTCATCAATTAAAAGAAAAAACAGTCCATTTGGATCTGAGTCTTCAGAAGATCTGCCAACAAGTCCTGAACTGAGGACTAGAAGGGCTCAATCTGAGAACGGTCCCTAAACTTATGCATACATGTACCCAGACTTGTGCTGCTACACAGGTGACAAAAAGGGTCAGGCTTTTTTTATTCATCTTATATAATAAACAAGGAGCGGTATATGCCTTATGAACTTATAATGAATCAGTTAATGAGCCTGGTTCTTTGAGGTAACAAAACAATTTCTCCAGACAGTGTGCCAATCAATCACTGTGTTGAGTTTTCTCTCCCAGAGGCACATAACCGGAATTGGAATTGGAATTGGAAACCGGTCTCTGAATAGCCTTTTCAGGAACACCAACTTTCAAACAACAGCAAACAAATGAAATTGCTCAGGCATGCATGCTCACATCTAAAACATAAGTTCAAAGACATAAGTTTCTTTCGAGAACATGTCCTAGTCATATTTGACCCCAAAAGACAAAGATAAAACCCATGACCAAAACAGAATACAGATGGGTACAGCTCAACAGATCCAAAAAAATCATAATAAGCTCCAACCAAAATTGTATTGTCCTTCTGGTGGAGTCGTGCACTTTAACTGTGGTTCACTCCAAAAGAGCGATATCTAACACAGTTTCAGCGTAACTTTTTTAGCAGTAGTACAGGCAGCAGACAGAATCCTCCTTCGATTTACAGACAGTGACAATGCAGCATCATCAATTAAAAGAAAAAACAGTCCGTTTGGATCTGAGTCTTCAAAAGATCTGCCAACAAGTCCTGAACTGAGGACTAGAAGGGCTCAATCTGAGAACGGTCCCTAAATTTATGCATACATGTACCCAGACTTGTGCTGCTACACAGGTGACAAAAAGGGTCAGGCTTTTTTTATTCATCTTATATAATAAACAAGGAGCAGTATATGCCTTATGAACTTATAATGAATCAGTTAATGAGCCTGGTTCTTTGAGGTAACAAAACAATTTCTCCAGACAGTGTGCCAATCAATCACTGTGTTGAGTTTTCTCTTCCAGAGGCACATAACCGGAATTGGAATTGGAATTGGAAACCGGTCTCTGAATAGCCTTTTCAGGAACACCAACTTTCAAACAACAGCAAACAAATGAAATTGCTCAGGCATGCATGCTCACATCATATTACTGTAATCCTGGAGGTTTTCTTTATAGAGCTTCTTTAGTTTAGATTCCTTGCACACTGTGTCCCATGGGTCTGCACTCTGCACCCACTGTTCTGCCTGAGTCACTTTTGCAAGCTGTGCTTTTTGAAGAGGGTTTTAAGAAAGCTGCAGCACAGCAGCTGAGGAGATGTTGCTTTTTGTTTGGTTTTTTTACTATATGAACTTAATGACTGAACACTGCTCTTAATGATTCTCTAGATAATACTGTGTGGCTATATAGGTTACATAAATATATGTCAAGGTTTCTAGTTCTAGAGACCGCTAACACTTTCAGTTTGTGTTGGTTTGAACATGTATTACAGTAGGCTGTACTTTAAATGTTTTTGTTTATGTTTGATTGGTTTTGTGGTAAAAAGCGTTTAAACTCCATTGTCGCAGTCAGGCTTTATTTAGCATGGTGCTAGATGTAATGCTCAGCAGCACAGTGTTTAATGTCATTGTGTGCTGTTCCTGTTGGCGATTGTCCATGCACTTCTCATTCATGACGATGTTCTGTACTGGAGAAGTTTATGTCTGCTCTCTAGTGGTGTCATAGGGAAAACATGAGTCCTGGCTTGCTTTTAGCTATAATGCTAAATACCATAGTATTTGAAGTTATCTTGTGGTATAAGTCTCAATGATTCACTTAATGAAGGGGATCCATAGAGGACAAATATAGACAAATTTGCATTCAAACTTTGCATAAAGACTTGACATGCCAACATCCGTAGAAGAAAATAAGGGCACCTTCAGTTTCAGAGAATGTTACGTGTCCAATTATGTGACAAACTATGGCCAGTATGTAATGAGTACATATAATAATATATTATACTGCTCTTTTATTGGATGTTTCATTCGGCCTTGTTTTTTAGATCAGTGCTTCTCAATTCCAGTCCTCACGTTCCACCGCTCTACATATTTTGCATGTCTCTCTTATTTAACACACCTGATTCAGATCACCAGCTCGTTAGAAGAAAGCTCCATGAATGAACTGTGCTCCGACTGACATGATCCCTACACAGTGTTCATTGCTCCCTAATCCCTAAGCACAGGAAATCTGTTGAAGTTTACTTCACTTCAGAACATTCATTCACGGATTTACACTACGCCACTGTCTTCACACACAGACGCAACTTACTGGAGAAGTGTGACATAATATACCTCGTGAATCCTGTGATGTCCACTTCGTAGGGCACTTACTGTCGAATAGAACAAAAGTCTGAAGTGATAAGAGATATATAAAATGTGCAGAGCGGTGGGACGTGAGCGTTTTTTATACATGGTTTGGCTTTCTGACGTGGTTTTCTCTTAGATTCCCTTGATTTAATGGGATGAGAAACAGCATTGTGGGTTTTTACACTGAGTTCTCTGTGCCTCTAGTATCCATACTTGGGTCGTCATCAAGAATGTGTCTAGGACTCTGGGCTCTTTCATGTTCCCTAAACTGATGAGTGACGATAAAAGTATCTTGCTGAAGCATACTAAAATTCCAACTTAATCCATTTTCATATCAGTGCTTGGAATGGAATGTAACAACAAATCAGAAAGAGAGTTTGAATGGATCTTGTGAAAAATGTCAAGATTATATGCCGGTCATATTACATCCTACAATAAAAATAAAGAAATATCAAATTACATACATTTCTTGAAAATTAATTAATCATTCTGTCGTATTTTCCTCTGTCTGCAGGTAAGATAGAGAAGGTTCGTCAAGTTCCTCCAGCATCGCCGTGCTCTTCAGATGGAGCTCTGCCCTCGCCGCTGTCTGATCTGGGCAGTGATGATTCTGGAGGACAGCGACCCAAGAACTTCATGCAGACTTTGATGGAGGACTACGAGACACACAAGGTCAAGCGCCGAGAGAAAACTGACGACAACAGTGTAAGTCTCTTATGGTCAGGTTCAAATGTATATAATGGTGGTAATCAGTAATATAGTACGGTATAATTCATTGTCAGTGGATTCTTCCTGTCTACAATTACATTCTTTCAGACATCCATTTGCATTTACAATCAAAACATTCACTTTCACTTTAATTGGCTTAACTTAATTGGCTTTAATTCTATAAAGGAATTTGTGATTCCTACTGCTAAAGTAATATCGCCATGACTTACACCAGAAACCATGTTCCTCTTTTTCATCTCATGCAAAGAAAGTGAAGAAACGGGACTTTCCAGCTCATTTAGAAACTGAGTTCATAAAGACTTTGCCAAGTCAAAAACCACCATCGAATGCATACTGAGGACACACTGTTTCATGTCAACCACAGGCTTTTTGTTTTCCCCTTTTGTTTTCTCAAAAATCAACACATTTCCTCTTAAAAAAGCTATTATTTGGAGAACAAACTATAAAGTGCCCGTGTTTTGCAACTTCGCTGCACTGGCAGTATCACATTCCATTATTATTATAACTTCAGAACTACAGTAGTGGTGACAATATTGGTCTCTGAGGATTAAATTCACTTTCCGTTATGAATGCAAAATAAATCCATGACAATAACTGCAGCTTTATGTTGCACTTGTAATTTTGCTAAGTAAAATAGCCAAATATTTATAAAGTCCTCATTAAATATTTCCTAAGGCCTTACAAATGACATCTGGCATCACATTTAAACACAATACAAATTCATGCTTATTTTTACTCTGGGAAGGGTGTGGCCAAATATTGAAGACTGAGGTGGATCAAACATAAAACTTAAAGAATCAGCCATTTAAAAAAAAATGATATTGGTCAACCACAGATCTAAAATAGGATGACAAGTCTCTCTCAATGTCTGTGGTTGTGATGGCCCTGAACTCACACAAACAAATACCTCAAATTGTCAATACATTTTAATAAATATAGTCTATACACCTGCTCCTTGAAAAAAAAACAATAGGGAACAGCCCTAACAAAGTAAAGCACATTGTTATTTCAAATGAAGTCATTAGCTTTACCCAGAGCACACGGTATTGAGCTATTATCTACTTTCAAAAGCTGTTCTCTACACAATAGCAAGTGTTTGCACATTAACGAATTCTTCCTCTTTCCCTCTCGTCAGTATGTCCGCTCAGTTACAACTGAGGTACTTGTACAATGCTTGTTTCAAACTACATTGTGCCTTCATTTCAAGTGTTATTGCATGTTTTTTGGGGGGAAAGTTGTAGCAGTGCCAAATACTTTGACATAAGAAAAGTGTTCCGAAGAAATCATTGTATTATATGTGGTATCACTGCATCATTCATTACATACACAATATATAGAGCCACATTTTGAAAAAGTCAAAGTATTTGCACCTACATGATCTACTGTATATCCAAAGTGCAGTGTCACGATCCATTCCCATGAAACCTGTGTCAATGAACTTACAATGTCCAGTCTTCATTTGATCATTTTACCACCTCCATTCAGAGTCCTAGTATCTCAATCCTAATGTCTCTTTGTATTTGTATATTTTACATAGTATTCAAGTTATTTGAGAACTTCAGATTGGACATTTAGGTTCACTGAAATAAGACGCAAAGCTTCCTGTGAGCCTAACACTTGGCACCTGGTTTTACAACAGTATTTCTTTTGAAACAGCATGGCTGTTCTCTTTTCTGCTTTATTATTTCTGCTTTCATTCTGTGTTTGCACTTAAAGGAACACGCCACTATTTTTGAAAACCCTAGAGTTAAACAGTTGAGTTTTACCGTTTTCGAATCCATTCAGCCGATCTCCGGGTCTGGCGGTAGCACTTTTAGCTGCAGCTTAGCATAGATCATTGAATCTGATTAGACCGTTAGCATCTCGCTCAAAAATGACCAGAGTTTAGATACTTTCCTATTAACTAGCTGGGGACTATTTTCAGGCGCTGCGTAATATCATTGCGCCTGCTGCACCCATGGTACGGCAGCAAAGTTCCTTGATTATTACACCGGAATGAGAGTATAGTTCCTAGCCATATCGGCCTAGAAAATCTCAACTTTTCATTTTCCGTCGGTCTTAGTACACGATGTAACTACAGAAGAGTCAAGTTTTAAATAGGAAAAATATAGAAACTTTTTGGTCATTTTTGAGCGAGATGCTAACGGTCTAATCAGATTCAATGATCTATGCTAAGCTAAGCTAAAAGTGCTACCGCCAGACCCGGGGAGAACGGCTGAATGGATTCGAAAAAACGGTAAAACTCAATTGTTTAACTCTAGGGGAGTTGGAAAATGAGCCTATTTTCAAAAATAGTGGCGTGTTCCTTTAAGCTTGTATTGTGTGTTGTGGAGTTTACATCTAAAGCGGTTTTGGACAATCAGACCCAAACTTGTACCCAGCATGAAACTGTTTGGAACAGGTGTGGTCTAAAAAGGACCATCTGGTGTGTATGTTTGCACATGTGTGATTAATGTTTTTAACTAAATGTCTTATAAAAATAAAAAAAATGATATTGACATTGTTTTTGTTGTTGTGCTCAGTATAAATAATGTATTGCCTTGCATACCTACCACAGTATATAGCATGGTATTGTAAAATAACACATCATACTTTTTTATTAAAAAAATTCTTACAGAAAATAAATAAATAAATAGAAATTTTAAAAAGTCATAATAATAGTAAGTAAATAAGGGTTAAAGAGTTGTAGCCCTTCTACAACATACTTTTTTAGAAGAAAAATCAAGTTATATAGATAAAATATCATTGTAAGTCAACAAAAGTTTATGGTTGCAAGGGAAATATGCTATATGTATATAGCTATATATATATATATATATATATATATATATATATACTGTATCGCTATGGTGAAAATACCATTATAACATTTAAAAAAAAAAAAAACGTAAGATAGCCATTTCCACATATTTTTATGTTTATCTTCAGGTTCTGGAGGCAACACGTGTCACTCGTAGAAAAAGTAACATGGCCCTCCGGTGGGAGGCGGGAATCTACACCAACCAAGAAGAGGCTGAGGAAGAGGAGGAGGAGGAGGAAGAGTAAACCAAACTTTCAGAGAGAAAAACCAGAGGGAAAATATGCAGCAGGACAAGCACAAGTATTTATTGGGAATTCAAACCTCTCAGAAGATTTGTTTCTGGAGCCTATGGGGAAAAAAAACCTTCTCTTGACATTGAAGACTAGAGATACTATACCGCTTCACATTTCCACTACCAAGTTATTGCTTTTTCTTTTGTGCTGATATGTTTTGAGAAAGTGGAATATGCAAAGACGAGAATCGAGGATTTTTGGCATTAATGTAAGATTGGTGTGAAGAACATATTGCATTTGGACTTCACATATATAGAGATGTTATTGAGCGGCTAAGGACTTTGGAAAAAGAATGGTAAATATGGGATAATATTATGTTATTAGTAGGAGGAGCTTGGATATAGATGATAGCGTGCTGACTGATCTGATTTCTAGCTAGATTATTGACATTTCAACTCTGGTTTGATCAGGATTGGTGCCATGTATATGAGTTCAGCCGTGAGCCCATTTAGAAAGCAGAACTACACAAATGTGTCTTGCAGTGTCCGAAAGGGCAAAATACTGTTATTTGTTTTCCTGTTAATCACATTGTCACATGATCAGCCTGTAGGGATAACAAATCGTTGTTCAGAGAGATCATTCAGCGGGAAGCTTTAATGAGGAGGACAAATGAAAGTAGGGCACAAATATTCACACCCTTGAAAGAGGTTTGTGAGAGCAGACTCTTCGCCCAGACCGATATAACAATAAATCCAAGCAGAAGAGGAAGAAGGCTTTGTATGGGCAGCAGCTGCTTTCTCCATTGACGAAAGACAGGAAATGTGTGTGAAATTAAACTTTAGGATGTTATTGCTGTTCGCAGTCGAAGGCACCTGTGTTTGGATTGAAGTTTAATGTAATGCAGTGCATTTAATGGCTGATGTGGATTATTTGGGAATGTTTATGTTGTGTTATGTGTAGTGCAGGAGAGCAAAAATGAAGGAAAGGATTGCATGCTTTTTCCATTAATCTTAATTTAAAAGGGTGAATATTTCTCTTTACTTACATTGGCATTTTTTAAGCCTTTACACACAAAGTGTTAATGCAATACCATTATTTAATATGGTTTCAAACACTTTATTGATACATATGCACACATGGATGTCTGAAAGGTTTATTCTTTGTTCACTTTCTTTAAAAAAAAGACAGTTGGCAATATAAAATATGTTAGAACAAGCATCTATACAGGACACTGACATCGGTGTACGTGTAGCATAAAAGAGACAAAGCAGACAAATAAATGGACAAATCTTCTTCTATATTTAATCTTTGACTTCTCATTTTTGCCTTTGGTCTTTGGCATTTTTCAAGCCACAACGAAGACAATCTCACAAGCTTCATTCAACAATGTGGCTTTGTTGTTTTTTGTACCCTCCACATATAATATATATATTACACAAAAGTATTTAATGGACTGCTGTCCTTTTATGAGTATACATGAAGTATTTGTAGTGTCTGGATTAGAGTGTCCTCAAACTGCAGGCAAAAAAATACAGTTATGCATTGTAATAATGTCTGGGTGGCGTATAAAGTTACACCTACAGAACTATAAATGTTCTTGCAAAAGGTGCATCGACTTTTTTTAATGGATGAAAACAGATATTTGTTGATCTCTGGATACTGACTTAATGAAGTGTTCGTTTGTGTTGATGCTTGACGTGAGATTGTGTAATGACCATCAGTTTTACTCAGAGCAGGATATTGGATTTTTACTTGGATTCTTTGATATGAGATGATTATTGTTGGTGAGCAAATTATTAGAATTTTATAAGGGGAAATATTTTTATTTGAGCCGTGAGATATATTCAGTGTTCCTAATGGAAAATAGTTTTGTAAAAACGACTGGTGTTTTACTGCACATTTATTCATATATACTGTGTTGTGTGTATTTGAGGGCCAAGTATGCCATACTATATGCATTTACAGAGGTTTTCATTAGTGCTATAGGCAACATTACTAGCACCGAGAAGGTAAAGTATTGACTGTGATGCTGACGGGTTTTGCATCATGAAATGTGCAGCATTCAAATGAAATGTAAAGCCAGCTTTAGCTTTCCTAAAGATGACATGCTTTTGTACTATAATGTATGAGGGATGGACAAAAATGGGTTTTTTTACCTCATAAAGCTAACTTATAAGAAATAAGCCAATGTTCAAATCTACAATAAATAGGATTCCTATGGCATAGGATGGTGGCCAAATTGCTTTTAATGTAGACTACCAGAAGAAAAAGGAACCATTAGAAATTGAGCAATATTGCAGCCGTTGACGTGTAAAAGCATTATGGCAAAAGCATGAGCCTTTGAGGACATCTGGGAACAGCAGACAAGAACTGCAAGCACAAATTTTGGTGCAATTTCTCTTGCAAACAGGTCCATTGTCTATTGTCAGTATTGTATGAAGCACAACCAAGCAGCTTTCTGTTGGTCAACACAGCGAATTTGTGTTTCTAAATTGAACGCGATGCAAAATCAAACTGTAAATGGAAACGCACCTTTAATGTTGCGAAATGTCATAGCTAATGTACACTTATTTACATACATACATACATTTACATACTGTAAAAAAATCCATAAAATGTAGCTGTGGTTGCCGGAATTTTACCGTAAAAAATACAGTAGCATCATTTTAGGTTTTACGGTTTTAACTTAAATTAGTTTACAGTTAAATACAGTCATTTCATTAACTGATATAATGTTAATATACCAACCTATTGAAGTACTGAAATCTGTTTTGTAGCTTTGTAATACACTGATAACCACCAAATGCAGGAGGTGATGAGAAAGTCACATGATGAACCAAAGCCCATCACAAGCAGCTTTTAAATAATAACATATATAGAAGCTGCACAGTGTGTCATTCACACAAACACTAAACACCATCATGGTAACACACATGAAACTGAAATAATGCAATAAACATTCATTTAACAACATTAGGTGTAACACACAACCCTAATATACAAAACTGATAAGAAAAAACTAAGAAGAAACATAGTTATTTCAACAAAAAAACATCAAATTTGAAATTTAACGCAGGGAATTATGGGAATGTCTATTTACGGTTATTCACTGTAAATTATACGGTATTTTTCACTTCCAAAAATGGTATACTACCGTAAAATTACATGTAATGTCCAATACAGTTTTTCACCGTATATAGTAGGGGAATTTACCGTTAACCATTTAACAGGTTTTTACTGTAGCATTTTTACAGTATTTTACCGTTAAATTCACGGTCATTTTTTACAGTGTAGGAATACGTGGGATTTAAGTTTTTGCGTGAGGGAGAAAATGTTTTCGTTCGTGTTCATGCTGGTCAACAGAAAGCTGTAGGTTTGAAAGTGACTTCTGAACATTACTGACAAAAGAGATTTTTGCTTGCGAAATTTCACCGAAATGTGGCTAATGTGAATGCTAAAGTTTTTAACTACAAACATAGTTTAGACTTGTAGTCAAGCATTTTCCTTGCCAGTGTCCCGTGTGCATGACAACTACTGCATATTTTGCAATAGATTTTCAGTTTCATTGTCAGAAGACAGCTTTTCAAAGAAAAAAAAAATCTTGCCTTTAATGAAATCACGAGAAGTATTGCTTTTTCAGTTTGAACCAAGTAAACTGTTTTGTTTTTTACTTTTTAAGTAACACTAAAATTATGTTGTGTGTTGTTTAACTTACAAATCCATTTGCAAAAGCTTCCTTAAAAGGTTTAATGAGTGTTCTAGTTCCCTTTGGGAGAAACCAAAGGAATATTGATATGGTGTGATAATAAAATCATGCTTTTGCTTTCAAAAGCCCTCTTTTGACATGTTAACCACTTATTGTATGTTAATATTCTGCTTATATTGTTTCATAGTAATTGTAAGTCTCACTCTTACACATATATAATTATTTTCTCATTAAAAAGAAAATGTGTAAAACGTCTCTATTCCTGACTCCATCAAAATGTGTCAATGTGACAAATGTAATGCCATAAGAATTTATAGGAATATTTCACCCAAAAATGAGAATTTGCTGAAAATGTACCCTCACCCTCAGGCCACCCAGTGTAGATGTGTTTGTGTCTTCATGGGAACAGATTTGGAGAAATGTAGCATTGCATCACTTGCTGACCAATGAATTCTCTGCAGTGAATGGGTGCCGTCAGAATGAAAGTCCAAACAGCTGATAAAAACATCACAATAATCCACACCACTCCAGTCCATCAGTTAATGTCTTGAGAAGACAAAAGCTGCGTGTTTGTAAGAAACAAATCCATCAAGATGTTTTTAACTTCAAACTGTTGCTTCCAGCTAAAATATAGTATAAGAGTCCTGTACACTCTCAGAAAAAAATGGTACAAAAGCTGTCATTGGAGCTGTACATATCAGTAGGCCTACCTAAAAGGAACAAAAATGTTCCTTTTGAATAGTTACTGCCCTAGTGACAGCTTTTGTACAATTTGTTTTTCTGAGTGTGTATCCATAATATTTGCTTTCTCCAGTGAAATCACAATAAAATGCATTGGAGTTTTGTTGAGTGAATAGGCTATTCATAGCTTTCAGTCACGTGACCGGCTCGAAGACCTGGAGGGCAAAACATCCATAGAACTGCAGGAAAAGCCTGTCAATGTTCCATCTGTTTCACAGCCGCAAATATTTAGATCATCTCTCAAAAGAATAAAACCTGTCACAGCCTTCAGCTGGTGTGCCCAGGATGGCCACCAGATGACACTGTGTTTTTCTGTGAGCACATGGTCTCTCCTGTCTATTGTCTGACCCTGCCCATCTTGTTACCTCATTATTGTTTAAGTTGCTCCACCTGTGTCTCCCTCGTTACCCTCCTCGTTTGTTTCCCTATTTATTCTCTCATCGCTCCACATGTACCGTGACAAAAACCTGCACCTGTGGCAATATTTCAATCATTAAACAGTGCAACAAAATGTTGTAAAAACACCTAAAGTGCCTTAATATATTTAAAACAGTAATATTCTCTATATTAATGATGCATAGTTTACATAACCAAGCAGATGAGGCCAGAATATGAACGCAGTCTGCTTAATGGTTCAGTGTTTTCCTTCTAATGGTTTTCTATGAGAAACCATTTAACGTGAAACTTTGCACATTGCGTTTATATTCTGGCTTCATCTGCTTGCCTGTACAAAATATACATGATCAATAAGGTGTTTACTGAATTTTCCTTTTAATATCTGTGTTTTACTACATGACTTAATGCAAACTGCGTAAAAATAACTGGCGGTCAGTGGAGCAAAGCTTCGTTTTGCCCTCCAGGTGGGCGTTCCTATAAGGGTGTGACGTCATGGGAAAAACTATCAATGAAAAGGTATGGAATTATACCAAATATTATAACATTCATTCAAAAAGAGAGTGATTTAGAATATTCGGTTATGGCTGAATGGTCCAACTATTTTCACACTTTAAAATGATCCTATTATGCTGTTTTACAAGGTCTTGATTTTGTTTTGGGGGTGTACTAGAGCATGCTCTCATGCTTGGTGGTTCGAAAAACACATTATTTTTCACAATTTACATGATTAAACTACCTTTCTCCCCAGCCTGGCACAAACGGCTCGATTAGTTCCGGGTTTGATGAAGGCCCGCCTTCTGAAAAATAAAATGTGTTGTGATTGGTTAGCTGTCCCAGTGCGTTGTGATTGGCGAACAGCTTAGACCATTGCTCCGTCTTTCAACAAAAGCTTTTTGGCGAAACTTGTCCACTGTCCTCCCTCATGTTGTGGAAGCTGTCCTTAGTAAAATGTGCAGCACACAATAGCAAATTGGGGTTATAATGCTCAGAAACAGAGTTAAAAAATAAATTGCAACCACTGTTTCCTGACATCATCCACTTTCGGAAGCCCAAGCAAAGACGTTTGGGAACGGAGGTGAAAAAAAACAGCGTTTCTTAAGGTGGTCGCACACCGGATGAGATGTGCAATGCAGCGTCGCGCCACGTCTTTAAAAGTCAAACACATTATTTTCTATGAGTGTACTCACACCAGCGGCGTCTGTCCGCGGCGCCCAGCTACATCATGTTGTACTTGTTGTAAGAATTGTTCTAGACGCGGCGCTGAGCTTCTCTCCGTCTCCGGTGTGAGACCGCCTTTAGACATGCCGAAAACTTGAAGCTACAGCAGCTCTTCTTCTTCTTCATTATGCACTAACTCTGCAGCAGCACTTCTTCTTCGTCGTCGTCTCCTCTGATGCACTCAACCAAGCATGGGCCGCTTTGTGACATCACAAAGCCCGGAAACCAATATTGTAGTCCAAACGAGCCGTTCCTTGTAGTTCTTGAAAAGGGATTTTTAAAAAACAAAATATCTCCCTTTGGAGTGGATTTTGAGATTTGTAACTTTTGTAGATCTATTTATGCCCAAACATACACACTACACACTGACTAAAATTTAAAAAGTGAAAAAGCATAGAGCATAGTGCAAGAAATTCCCTATATACTTAAAAAAAAAAAAAAAAAAAAGCATGGAAAAGTTATAAGACTTTTGTCCTGCTTGAAGCTTATTATATCCTTACATTCTTCCACAAAAAAAAAATCCTATTATTTTTGTTCCATCAAAAAAGAAACATGAAGGTGAGTAGATGATGACATCTTTTATTTTCTTCATTAATTTTAGGAGACCTGTCTGTTAAGGAGAGAATGAAATGGTCTGCTCTTCTACTCCAGATCCTGTTTGACTGGTTCACACAAACCAAGCAGGTATTGCATCACCTGGGATGCAATGGGGAGTTCTTTCTTCTTTGAGAGTTATGCTTTGTTTTGCAAAAAATTCCTTTTCTTGGAATTTTAATCAAATAGAATTAACTTTATATAAAACAACCCAATGGTATGTCCTTACTGATTAGAAAGTAAAGTGAATGAGTTTGTGTCTGGGAGAAACATGACTAACCACTGAAAGTATTTCAGTGTGCAACTTCCCCATAGCAGAATGACGCGATGGACTTCACCCAGAGAGTTTGAGCTTCTGTGAAGTATCGACTCGGATCAAAGAAGGTTTTGTTTGCTTTTATTGTTTTTATGGCTGTTATGATGTCCTGTCGTAAATACATCGCCCCTCTAGTGTTCTGTGCCCAAGTGGCCAGCTCGTTTTTTGACACCGCTCTCCAAATGGTGGTTAAAGAACGATGCGCAAACGCCACCGACCGAGACAGCGAGCAGAAAGCCATCACAAACTTCAACATGACCTTCAACATGGTGCTCAAATTCATGCCGATTGTGCCAGCGATCCTTCTGGCAAAGGTTGGAGACCGAGGTTACAGGAAAGTGCCAATAGTTGTTCCTCTGGTTGGTTACTTTCTGTCCAGAGGTTTGCTCTTGCTGGATATCGTGCTGGAATGGCCTGTCCAGGTGCTTTACGCGGTGCCGGTGATCCATGGACTGTGCGGCGGGTTCGCATCGTACTGGGCAGGTGTGATGGCGCTGGTGTCGGTGTGCTCCGGTGAGGAGGAGCGGTCCGTGCGCATCATGAGAACCGAGCTGGTGTATGGAGTCGCCGGGTTCATTGGTAGTTTGGCTTCTGGTCACTTATTTAACCTCTATACCGTAGGTCTCCAACAAGGAGCCATTTTATCTAGTTTGTGTGTGCTCCTGTATTTCCTCTGCCTGCTCTATGCCGCATTTTTCCTGCGGGTCGGTCTTTTCTCCGAGCTTGGAGAGAGGCAGGAGCGCCGGGAAAGTGTTGGGATCATAAACCACGAAGCCCGCGATAAAATAAACATCGCTTTGCTCTTCGGCAGTGGGATTTTGTATGATATAGCAGTGGCTGGAGGAATGGAGATGTTGGTAGCTTATGTGCTCAAAGACCCCCTCAACTGGGGCGCAACCGAGGTGGGTTATGGAAACGCGGCTGGATCCCTTCTCTTCATCACCAGTTTTTTGGGTGTGAAGATGTTCACAAAATGTTCAGTTCGAGATGAGAGCATGGTCATGATCGGGATGGTGTCTTTCGCAGCTGGGATTTATTTCATGGCATTTGTGACCACAACTCCGATGTACTTTTTGGGTAAGTTATAACCAAATAATATGCTTACTTGAAGTGCACGGTAATATTTTATTCATATACCCTTAAATGTACCTTAAATGTAATAAATATGACCATTATATGGCTAAATATTATCCAGACCCTGTTGGCTTACATCAATAAGAGTCGGACAAGGTAAAATATCTGGTAACATATGCATATGCAGGTGTGTGTTGCTTTTATATATAAAAATATATACATGGCTTGTATTAGCATTATAAAACATAATGAGTAATACGTTACGTTTGGCTGTTCGTGAGTGATATTTCTAAAAGTTACTTAAAAGTTAAAAGCATTGCTTTACAATACGTTACTCCCTAAAAAAGTTACTAATTACGTTACTTAATTACTTTTTATGGATAGTAATGTATGTTACTTTTCAAATGTGGGCTGGGCTTGCTTGTTTGTTTTTAATAATGGAAAAAAAGTTCTGTTTTGGCAAGTGTAAAAGCCCTTTCACACCATAAGTGAAATGAATAAGCCTCAGGCTGAAGGAATGTAAATTAATTAACATCTGTACATCTGTAGTAGAGGGCAGCTCAGAAAACGTTTCAGTTGTGCTGCCAATTCTGGATTATATAAAGAACAGGACACAGGAGAAGAGAGAAAGTTTAACACTCTTCAGCAATGAAAAAGAAAAGAAACACAAACGTTATGTTTAATTTAAGTAATTTTATAATTATTAATATGGTTGAATTGTATCATTGGAAAGCTGTCAGTCAATAAATGGGAAAACAAAGTAACTGGCATTACTTATTTGAAAATTAACTCCGATATTTTCTTGTAAATGAAAAGTAATGTGTTACTTTACTAGTTACTTGAAAAAGTAATCCGATTATGTAACTTGTGTTACTTGTAATGCGTTACCCCCAACACTGTTAAGTGATGAACGAGCATTTAAACTGGAATGCAATAATAGAGCAAGTGCATAAAAGAAAAGAAACACAAACGTTATGTTTAATTTAAGTAATTTTATAATTATTAATATGGTTGAATTGTATCATTGGAAAGCTGTCAGTCAATAAATGGGAAAACAAAGTAACTGGCATTACTTATTTGAAAATTAACTCCGATATTTTCTTGTAAATGAAAAGTAATGTGTTACTTTACTAGTTACTTGAAAAAGTAATCCGATTATGTAACTTGTGTTACTTGTAATGCGTTACCCCAACACTGTTAAGTGATGAACGAGCATTTAAACTGGAATGCAATAATAGAGTTCCTCAAGGGAATAAAAACAGAAATGCTCTATAAATCACTTAATTGATTTAGTATTCTCTTCTGATCTGAGGTTTTGTTCTTGTCTCCTTTAGCTCGCTCTATCACTCTGTTTGCTCTGATTCCAATGCCCACCATTCGCTCGCTGCTGTCCAAACAGGTCAGGGGAACCTCATATGGTAGGTGTCAGTTCTTTATTCTGTCAGTACCCTAAACAAGTTGTGTGTCTGCGTATGGTGCTGCAAAAGACAGGCTTTATGGAACACTAAAATTTCCTCAAAAGTAAACTTAGACTTCAGTTGACTTTTAAACAATTTGCATGTTAGTCCATGCAGCTGTGCTGTGAAGCATATCAATATTGGGTGTATATATTCAGAAGTTGAAGTGTGAACAAAAAATCAAAAACAGAGGTGAAACTACGAGTCAGTGTATTCACAGGTGGAGCCCATAGGAATATTTATGCTTTTGTGTGGTAACAAGAAGTAGCTTTATAGGCAAATGTAAAATTATGTTTATGACCTGGGGTGCGTTTCCCAAAAGTAACTTTGGTCGCAAATTCCGTTGTTACCAACAGAGTTCAACGGAACTTGCGACTATAGTTAGCACCTAATGATGCTTTAGGGAAACGCACCCCTGGTTGTTTTCTGGTGGTCGTTGATTTGTTTTATTTATTTAATTACCCATGTTCTTGACTGACCGAACTGGTGTTAGTGTTGTTGATCCCAGTTGTACAAACAGTTGATGGATTATGGTGAATTGATGGGCTGGCTGAGGTGACAAGGAGTTAGAGTATGGTATTTCAGAAAAATACAGGGCCAAGTACCGAACCCTGAGGCACTCCAGTGGATAGCAGTTGGTATTTAAACACTCTCTCCCTTGAAGATACCTTGTTGAATATGTCTGTGTGGTAGGACTCAGGCCAGCGAAGTGTAGTTCAAATAATTCTCACTTCAGAGAGAGTGGACAGGTGAATTTTTAGGCCTTACTCTGCTTTTATGCACGTCTGTGATTTTGGTAACCATCCAGAGGTTATGTACTTTACCTTATCACCAACACACAGATAGTGACAAGCCAGACAAAAATGTAAGCAGATTTAAGCATTTGTTAAGAATAAGTTATCTGAAGCCAAGAAATGGTGACAAGTTTATAAGCAGTAATGTAGTACAGTCACACTCAGTCACTAAAGACTATCTGTAATGTAACATTGAGATCAACAAAAATACTAAGCTTATAATTTTTAAAATATTTACAGTATATTAAAAAATACATTTGAGTGTAAGTGTGTTCTATAGCTTGTATTCTTCAAGGTATCTTTAAGGAGGTGTGTTTAAATCCTGTGCTACTGAAGTGCCTCAGGCTTCAATGCTTGGCCCCCTATTCTTCTGATATACTGTACCTGCAGGTCACACCAACCAAACCTCATCTCACCCCCTGTTGGCACCAACCCTATGTAACTGATATGTAATAGAGCTTAAAAATAAAGGTACAGTTGGGGTGATGATGGGATGAAAAACTGAACCAACTGAACTCCTCTAAACCTTTGGTTTGGAACACCACAGTTTGGTGAAGCATGTCCTTTGTAACTTTCACATTTAGCTACTTTTCCTCCCATAGGCATTACCTTTGTCATGCTCCAGTTGTCCTTCAAACTTGCAAGCTTGGTCACCACACCCATCTACACTGAGATCTATCAGGCCACACTTAACACCTTCCCAGGGTTTGTCTTCATACTGTCCAGCATCTTCACTGTTCTTTCTATGATACCCATTAGGTAAGCTGACACTTTTTGGCACCCTTTGACAATATTTTATTCACTACTGAATTCTGAGAAACAGTCATTCTTAAAACATTTTTATTGTTTTTTTATGCCTAGTATTGTAGGATGTCGATCTGCAAGACATGATGGATATGAGAGAATTCAAGGGAACTGACTGACAGCATCAGCCACACCAAAGCAGACAATGTATCAGAAATGGACAAGTTTGTAGGTTTACACTGATGTTACGTACAATAGAGGATATTCTACTAGGATAATGCTACTTCCTGTTGCACTGTGGTTACACTGCGTTATTGGTAATGCAATATGTGTAGCATCTTATTTGCCAAGGTTTTTTTTAACATCTATGTATAAAATGCTGACAATCTTTAGTTTTTAGGTATTTTGGTAATAATTTACAATACATTTCCATTCGTTGTTAACATTGACTGCATTAGTAAACATGAACTCACACTGGAACATTCTTCGAAAGTATATTAATCTTAATGTTAATGTCAAGATTAACTAGTATATTATTGAAATCAGAAGTTGTATCTATTATACTATTTAATGAACCTGAACTGACAACGAACGGTAGTATTTTTATTAACCAGCCTTAACAAAGATTATTAAATACTTTAACACAAGTATTACGAGTTAACTAATGGATCATTACTGTAAAGTGTTACCAATATTTCTGTATGCACTGTCTATTTGAAATGGATGACATCTTTTATCAGATTTTTATTGTTCAGATATTGCAATAAATTAAGTTATTTGTACATCCGTGTATGGTGTATCTTAATAAACATACTTTTTTTTACACAAAGTATCCAGGAAATACAATAATGATGCAAATAATCATTATAGTATAATGGCAGTCCATAAGTCTATATAGTTTTTAGTTCTGACTGTGCAAAGGCACAAAAATACATTAAAGAAAAATACATCTTATTAGCATATTCTAATCATTTCTATCACTATGGTCCAGTATTAAATCAGTTGAGGTAAAGGGTAACAGCATCAAACAACACTGTACAAGTTATTCTTCCTTTTAAAGTCCAGAATTGATATTTAGTCAGTTTAACTACAAATAGTTTATGCTAAAAGGAAGCCAAATAAGCTTTATAAAACATTACTTATACAAAACATGCAGTTGATTAAAAGGTTATTCAATTGTAATTGATCCTCCTCACTTGCTTTAGTTTAATTAGTTATTTTTGTACTTCATACACACCTGCTGGACTGATCTGTAAGTAAACATATGACACACTCATGCTTCAGTCGTTTAATATTTGACACACAAAAAAAGTAACCATTAAGCATATAAAATAACAGATTAATGGACCACAGTTATTGCAGATTCTGTAGAAAGTCATATAATCATTCTACATTTAATCTGTGCTTGTGTAAACTGAATTGAATCATTTTTAGTATAAGCTGTATTTTATATCATAATGTACAACATGCACTTAAGCAACAAAAGTCATATAGCTGCCTGTGTAATGTAAAATCAAATCAAATCAACTCAAAAATTAAGAGACAAAAGTGGACTGGATTTGATGGGTTAAACTTCAAGCCGTGTATCTTCACTAAACTTTTATGAACTAGACCACATTAAAAAGGGCAAACATAGACACATAGAAAACAGCCTATGCTGCCAGACAGAACAGCTGAGAGGATGAAGGTGGAAGAAAAGTTCAGAAGGCAATGAGATGACAGAAAAGCAGCTGCATTAACCAGCAGGTGGCGTGTTTCCAATCTGTGTGCTGCAGCTGTGCTCAAACACTAGAGGGTCAGTTCTGATTAAACATTGCTACATTACTAATTGCAACATTGATGGAGAACTCCCTTAAAAATGTTTAACAAATGATGCTCTTATCTTGAAATGACCAAATTTCCCCAAATACAACCATGAGAGAGAAACTGTAACCCTGACTGTTCATGCCATTTGCTTTATTTGTCTTTGGTGTGTGTGTGTGTAATGATTTGTTTTATTCTCCTTTTTTTAGTGATAAATTAGGGGGAGAAACAGAAGATGAAGCCTAATTTTTAGGACCATCTTTGATTTCTGTGATAAAGAAATTAAACAATTTCCTCACGCAACATATTACTGAAAAACAAATGTGTTAAAATATAATGTAATTTGTACAAATTACAATTTTCTATAATAAAATATACATAAAAATTACATATACATAAAAAAAATACATAGTCACAACCACAATAATAATAATAAACAAACAAAATGCTAATTCAAAAATTTAAATTTTGTAATTTTACATTTCTGTGCACTCTATGAAATGACCAAATTTCCCCAAATACAACCATGAGAGAGAAACTGTAACCCTGACTGTTCATGCCATTTGCTTTATTTGTCTTTGGTGTGTGTGTGTGTAATGATTTGTTTTATTCTCCTTTTTTTAGTGATTAATTAGGGGGAGAAACAGAAGATGAAGCCTAATTTTTAGGACCATCTTTGATTTCTGTGATAAAGAAATTAAACAATTTCCTCACGCAACATATTACTGAAAAACAAATGTGTTAAAATATAATGTAATTTGTACAAATTACAATTTTCTATAATAAAAAATACATAAAAATTACATATACATAAAAAAATACATAAAAATTACATATACATAAAAAAATACATAAAGTCACAACCACAATAATAATAATAATAATAAACAAACAAAATGCTAATTCAAAAATTAAAATTTGGTAATTTTACATTTCTGTGCACTCTAAAAAATGCTGGGTAAAATACAACCCAGTGCTGGGTAAAATAGGGACAAACCCAGCAATTGGGTTGTTTTGACCCAGCGGTTTGGTTAAATGTTTAAATGTTTAACCCAACCTTCTGGCTAGTAACCCAACCGCTGGGTTTGTCCCTATTTTACCCAGCACTGGGTTGTATTTAACCCAGCATTTTTTTGAGTGTGTGTGAACTATCCCTTTAATAGTCCTTAAATAGGCCTCATTTTCTTTATGAAAAGTATAATTTTGATTAGTGGCAGAAACAAAGCCCAGGCATTTCTACCGTTTTAGTGAGAATCACCCAAAAATATGTTGAGAAACACTTAGCATCAGGAACGTTGAATAGAAAGATTTTGGTTGGTTTGGAATTTATAACTCTAAAACATTACCGTGCAAAAGCTGGGGTCAGTAACATTTTTTTTATAAGCAAATTAATACTTTTATTCAGCAAACACACATTAAACGGACACGAAGACATTTCTTTCGAACCTTCTATTCATCAAAGAATCCTGAAAAATAACATACCAGTTTCCAAAAAAACATTTTTTAAAAATCAGAAATGTTTCTGGAGCAGCAGAATATCAGAATGATTTCTGAAGATCATGTGACTCTGAAGACTGGAGGAATGATGCTGAACGTACAGCTTTGATCACAGACATAAATTACACTTTAACAGATATTACAATAGAAATTATTTTAAATTGTAATATTTCACATTACTATTTGTATTTTTGTATCAAATAAATGCAACCTTGATGAGCAGAAGAGTGTTCTGTCAAAATCATTTAAAAATAGACGTACTGAAAAGTAACGCATAACCAGCGATGTAACAGCTGCCAAAAACTTTACCATAATGCATTTACTAAAAGCTTTGAATTTCAGAATGTGTATATTACTGGAGATGAACCGCTCTCCATTAATATCCCAGAATTTCACAGGAAACGTCCCACATTACCTTCACCTCACTCGACTAGATATCCCAAACTCATTTACTGCCCCATTAAGACAAGCACAAATCATTATGACACATATTTTGTCATAAATATTTAATGAGGTCAAGTATGGCTGGGAAAACGCAACAGCTTAGTTTAGAGTGTAACGAGGGAACGGCCGATCCAGGCAAGGCTTTTGTGATGCCAGTGGCCAAGAAATCTTCTGGAAAAAAGCAAAGGAGATATCAAACTTCAGTTCCACATCTTTGGCAAGAGGACTGTTAGTGAACGTGAACCAAAAAAATTAAAACACTGACGTCTCGGTTCCCTTGGACGGATCAGCATCAAAAGACAAGCATTTACAAAAGGATAACAGGCAAACATTTCACTAAAAACGACACATTTGTTGACGGCACCAAAAACTCCTCGCGACCGTTTGTGGTTTCCCGAAGCCGTTAAGTGTTTAGTGTTTCTTCTGCAGGTCTAGTCCGAGCTTGAGACGAGGAAACTACAGATTCTCCTTCCACAACAAAAGAGAGAGAACAAGAGAGAGGTGGTTGCATGGGCTTTAACAAATAAAGACACTTTACAAAAATGAATTCTCGGAGCTCGTCCGCTCCAGTAGCGTCCCGTCCCGTGAAAGCTCTGCTGGCTGAAACATGCTCAGTTCGTTTCTCCTTTTGCCTCCTGTTTGTCTTGTAACAGTGGAATGAGGGACTCCCATGCTGCAAGGCACTGTGGGGCAGAAGCAACAGCAGGAAGTCAAGGCCAAAGCCACTTCATCTCAAACACAACTCTGCTTTGACTACACACATACACTTAGATTTCCTAAACAATCTATTTCACATGGAAACAGGCTGCAGGAGTGACGCACCTAGATTTCGCATTAAAGGGGTCATATGATGCTATTTTAAAGATCATTATTTTGTGTATTTGGTGTAACAGAATATGCTGACATGCTTCACACTCACACTCACACTCACACTCACACACTCACACTCACACACGACGCGTTACTCTGCGCTGCGCAAAACTCCGCATTTGAACAGTCAATATCAAATACTTAAACTAACAAAACATACTTACAGTCGCTGATTCAGAAGCGCCAGATTGTCATAGCAAAGTCGGAATTTACCCTTTTTTTGGGGGGGAAATAGTTTTTGTGCACAGCCAGCCTTGTACTCTTCTAGGTCGTCCATAAAATGAGTTGCACAAATTCGAACATCTGGGTCGTGCTGTTCTGTAAATAAATCTTAACCAATGATTCCTAATTGCATCTACTTCCGGAAGGCCAAAGAAAGTGCTTTTACTTTCGCACTGAAACACACAGCGTCTCCCTGACATGCTGCTTCAACACGACTGCTGTTCCTGAAACCACGCCTTCTTTCTTTGCGTGCACATTTGGGCGCATTATGCTAATATTTCCACATAGTGAGGTAGACATGTGGGGGCGTGTTAGAACGAGGCGTTTTAGGGGGGCGTGGCTGACTCTGAACTTTTATAAAGAATATCTCTTTGGATTTGAGACTTTAGTCTTTGCAACTTTACAGATCTTCTTTATGCACCAAGAGCTTGTAACACTCCAAAGAGAAAGGAAAACTTCAAATAGCATCAGATGACCCCTTTAAGACTTTATTTTCATCACAAAAAACAAGATTTTTCATTATTTTAATAAAATAAAAATAATGCATTAATCATAAATTAAATACATCACAATAATACATTATTAAATACTAAATAGTTTATTATTTAAATTATTTAATTACAATTACAGTTACTTTAAAAATAGCAATTCTCATTTAATACATTACAGTTACCACTTTAATAAATAGCATTAATCAAATTCTCATTCACATTCTCATTATGAAATTTTTTTTTTATTGCTATAATGCACATTGTGATACATACTTGAAATTGTACTTATACTTTTTAGAAAAACTGTTTTTACTACTTCATACTCGTAGATTTTACAAGATTAATTGCCAATGCAAACATTACAATTGTGCATTTCTGTAATGCTGCTTTGAAACAATGTGACGTTTCAGATTACAGTAATGACAAGTATATATATAGCTCTTTTGCATTATTTATATACCTTTATATTATTTATGAATATTTTGAATTAGCTTTTATTTTTATTTTCAGATTTAATTTTGAGTCATTTTTATGTGAGTTCTATTTAGCTTTAAAATTCGATTTAATCTGCTTAGCTTTTATTTCGTTTTAAGTAATTTTAGTAGTTATAAATAGTACACTTACTTTATTTCAATCCGTTTCTAAGACAAAATTTCTAAGATTTTAAAATTTTTCCATGTATTATTTATATTTTATTTCAGCTTTTTTATTATTTTTTTACTAACAAAAATGATTTTTAGTAGTTTTAGTTAATAACCCTGATTGCCACAATGCAAATAATAAAAAAAAATAATAATAATACAATTACTCCAAGTAGGTTTTATGTTCTTAACACAAAAATGTATTTATTATTTCCTTCCTTTCGATTTTGGGGTGATTTGACAGTTTAAGCAACATGATCAACACAGAAAAACTTCTGTATATCAATATGTGAATATTCAATGAAGTCAATAAGGAAATAAGTGAGCTCCTCTGACTCTTGCAGTATAAATGGTTTCTTCCCATTTAGCAGAGGTGTTTTGAATTTAGCAGCGCTGTGTGAGTGTTTGACAAAACAGCAGGACTGAAATGTTCCTGCGCAAGTTCTTCAGACAACAGCTGAGCAATTTCAGAGCAACAGTCACTCCGAGTGCTCTACACACAAATTACAGCGGGTTTCCTGACATGTTGGTGTTTTATCTTTCACTTGGATGTTAAAAGTTGCACCGAGTAAATACAGCTGAATAAAACAAAAACTGCATCCATCTTCATTTCAGACTGCAAAGCAACAAAATGTGATTATTTTAAAGGAGCTGATTCTTTTCTACACCCACTGTATGTGCTTAAAGCAACATTAAGTCAAACTGAACCCATTTACTTTCTTAAAACACATGTCTGGTTCTACTGTATCATCAATACACATTATTAGTTAGTCTTGGTAGCTGGTCATATTTTGTTCTTGCGTCAAAATATAATATCATGCTCCGCCTCTGAAATGACGCACACAAATTTTCAGCTCTAAGCACATCATATAGAAACCACGTTTCACAGGTGCAGGAAGGTTTCTGACCTTCTCGTAGTACTGTATGTTTTTGTCGGACATGCCCGTCAGCAGCTGTCTGAAGTCCTGCCGCTTGTTGTTCTCCCAGCGGTCCCAGTCGGCCTTCAGGTCAGCGTTGAAACACTCCACACGGTCCTGACACTTCTCCACGTCAGCGGGCACCTGCAGGACAGAGATGTGCGGAGAGCAGACTGACCGCTTAACCCTCAACTGAAGAGACGTTTCTCCCATCACGGAATCTACTTCAATACTGGCCAAGACTTAGACGAGATTGTGTCTTCATGGGAACAGAGACGTCACTGTCTCAGCAGTGGATGCTCTGCAGTGAATGGGTGCCGTCAGAATGAGAGTCCAAACAGCTGATAAAAACACCACAATAATCCACACCACTCCAGTCCATCAGTTTATAACAAACAAATCCATCATTAATATGAATTGTTTTTTTAGCTAAAATACGAGTCCATAATCCATAATATTGCTAGCTTTCTCAAATGAAAAAGTCTCATCTGAATCAGGAGAGAAATCTGCAGCGTTTACAAGCCAAAACAGCTCTGAAACACATGTGGCTGGATTTTGATGTGAGAGGAAAACAGGAGATGGACTTTTTCACTGGAGGAAGCGTTATTATGGATTATGGACTCGTATTTTGGTCAGAAGTTAACATCTTAAGGATGGATTTGGTTCTTATAAACACACAGCTTTTCTCTTCACGAGATGAACTGGAGTGCTTGTGGATTATTGTGATGTTTTTATCAGCTGTTTGGACTCTCATTCTGACGGCACCCATTCACTGCAGAGCATCCACTGCTGAGACACTGATGCAATGCTACATTTCTCCAAATCTGATGAAGAAACAAACTCATCCACATCTCGGATGGCCTGAGGATAACACAAATTATTCAGTAAATTTTCATTTGTGCATGAGCTATTTCTTTAATAAACACAGCTCTAAAAGCCCTGCAAATCAGAGTTAGCAAAGAAATGTAACTCACCGATGTCTTTTTGTCCTCCCTGAACACGACTGCTTCCAACTTGGTTTCATACTCCGCTTGAACTTGGTCTCTCTTCTTCAGCACATTCTGACAAACGACAAGAGGTTTGTGAACCGAGGCAGTCGTTAGAGTTTACATTCTCCAGCTTCACTTTTTCTCTCTATGACTAATAGAAATGCAGGCTTACTGCCTCAAACTAGATAATGAAATGTGTTCGGTGTATGCTGTGCAGTGTGCACTGGAGTCATGACACAAATATGGACGCTATTAAAACACTTCTTGTTGCTTCCCAGAAATCCTGGACGTCTCGCTGTAATAATCCCGCAGTGACTCGTGGGAGAAAAGAAATATGATCGTGTTGAGCGGAAATGCTAGTCTGCAGGAATTAAACTCCTCGTCTTCAATGAACTCCTCAGTTAAACTGCTTAGGGATGGGAGATATGACTGAAATTTCAGGCCTGTCACTACTTCAGTGTTATAAATTTAACAAAACCTCACATATCTCAATTTCACCGCATAAATTAAAACTACTACAGCAGTACTAAACAATATTATATCCAACTTTACTCAGATACATACAATACACTCACATAAAGTGATATTTACTTTATATGCTTATTTCACTGTAAAATGTACACTGTAAAAAATGACCGTGAATTTAACGGTAAAAGACTGTAAAAATGCTACAGTAAAAACCTGTTAAATGGTTAACGGTAAATTCCCCTACTATATACGGTGAAAAACTGTATTGGACATTACATGTATTGGACATTAATTTTACGGTAGTATACCGTTTTTGGAAGTGAAAAAGACCGTATAATTTACAATGAATAACCGTAAATCGACATTCCCAGAATTCCCTGCGTTACATTTCAAATTGTTTTTTTGTTGAAATAACTATGTTCCTTCAACAAATTCACACAAAAATTATGTCAAAATGCCCGTCTTGGTAAAGTATCCTATAGCAGACATAGCCAGCTGAACGTACTGTATCAGTGCATTCTCTTAAAGTGACAGCACTTTCTTAATATTAATCAAACAGCAACAACAAAGAAATCACTCACTGCTCTTGACTGAATAGCTTTTGTAACTTTAATAAAGATTAATCTTTAATTTATACAGTCAAATATGCAATGCTGTTTTACATTTCATTACTTTATTCAATTTCTGCACCTGAAAACTGTTAGACCTACTTAAAAAACCCTTAAAATCACTGTTTATTTTATTTGTACCTTTACTCGGTAACACTTTACTTGAAGGGGTGTGCATAAGACTGACATGATACCTTCATAATCATGACATGACACATGTCATGAATATGAAGGAGGTTTTATGCATGTTTATGACAACTGTCATTAAGTGTCATTCACTCAGTTATGTCATTTTTAATGCAAATATGACATTATTTGACCTAACCCTACCCCTACCCTTACCCCTAACCATAGCCCATAACAAAGACATCTCAAACAATGTCATCTTTGCATTAAAAATTACATAACTGAGCGAATGGCACTTAATGACAGTTGTCATAAACATGCATAAGAACCCTTCATATTCATAATGTGTGTCATGTCACGATTATGAAGGTGTCATGTCAGTCTTATGCACATCCCTTCAAGTAAAGTGTAACCCTTTACTCTATTGTATTTGTTTGTGCTGTTGCTTGTAGTTAGATAGATTATTCTTATTTTCTTTATTTTTATTTGACAGTCTAGTTTTTGCCTAAACATAGCACATACCGAACCGTACCGAAACCGTGACTCTAAAACTGTGATACAAACCGAACCGTGAGTAAGTTGAACCGTTCCACCCCTAGTCTGTTTCCAAACGACATGAATTATTTTCCAGTAGATGGATGAGGGAAACTCTGCTGGCCGCTCCATATGAATGCTGAATCGAATTAAAATTCACATGGAAAGGGGAAGAAATGACTAAGAAGCTCACCTTCATGGACTCGATGTACAGGACGTATTCTCTGAGCACAGGGAGAAAGTCTTCGCTCATGTCCTCCGTGAGCTCCTCCAGAGCGCTGGAGCAGTTCGACACGCACCCCGACACCCCCTCCAGAGGATCATGGAGGTCCTCCTCAAAAGACGACCAGGAGGAGTAGACCGGCCCGTACTCTCTCAACTCCATCAGGAACTCTGACACACAGAAACAATGATAAAACTCTCTTCTTAAAGAGCACTGTTCTCTACATTCTACAACTGAAAGATCTGTTGAGCTACCCTGTTCTCTACTTCCTACATACAACTGCCTTCTAAGGGAGCATCCTAGGTCTGATCTGAAACACCCTACAGAGGCACTTACCGGCGCAAAGTTAGGGAACAGGACGATTTTTTATGTTTTTAAAGAAGTCTCATGCTCACCGACGCTGCATTTATTTGATCAAAAACACAGAAAACACAGTAATAAAAAGTTAAAAAGAACAACATTTATTCAAAATCTTTTCTAACGATAAAAGTCTTTACTATAACTTATCAATTTAACACATCCTTGCTGAATAAAAATATTAATTTATTTCAAAAGAGAAAGACAACTAATTTACTGACCCCAAACTTTTGAACGGTAGTGTATCAAATTACAAAAGAGTTCCATTTCAAATAAATACTGTTCTTTTTAACTTTTTATTCATCAAAGAATCCTGAAAAATGTATTACAGGCTTCAAAAACAATTTAGCAGCACAACTGTTTCCAACATTGATAACAAATCAGCATATTAGAATGATTTCTGAAGATCATGTGACACTGAAGACTGGAGTAATGATGCTGAAAATACAGCTGCGCATCACAGGAATAAATTACATTTAACATATATTCAAATAGAAAACAGTCATTTTAAACTAACAATATTTCACAGCATTACTGCCTTTTTGATCAAATAAATGCAGCCTTGATGAGAGACAATCATTGTAATATGCTGATTTGCTGCTCAAGAAACATTTCTGATTATTATCACTGCTGAAAACAGTTGTGCTGCCGAATACTTTTGAAAAAAGTTGAGCTGATTATTGTTTTCTGATTATGATATTTTTGTATTTTTCAGGATTCTTTGATGAATAGAAAGTTCAGAAAAGCATTTGTTTTAAATAGAAATATTTTGTAGCATTATAAATGTCTTTACTGTCACTTTTGATCAATTTAACACATCCTTGCTGAATAAAAGTATTAATTTATTTTAACAAAAATAATGACCCCAAAAATTTGAACAGAAGTGTCTAAGATTGAGTTTTAACACACACACACATATGTTGCTCACTAAAGGCCTCAATATAATACAAGCGGAAATGAAGAACAAACTACGTGATATAATTTTAAACAAAATCAAAACAGTTCAAAACAGCTTTCCGGAAACATTTGCTCTGGCTGGCAAACACCTTTAAACTACCATTGGTCCTGGTGATTATGTAATGGGTACAGTACACTCTCAAAAAAAATATGCCTAATATAAATGAACAAATAACTTACATAAAGTTTAAATAGGTATACAAAACTGGAAATAAGTAAACATGTTTAATATATAACCAAATAAATAAGAAACGTAGAACGTTTATTAGCAAAACGAGTAAGAAAGCTTGGAGGCACGGCATACACCTTGATGTAACAATAAATAAATAAATGGCACAAAGTTTCAATAAAGTAAAGATCAGAAAACAATGATCTGTCTCGCCTCACTCGTCTCGTCTGTCTCGCCTCACTCGTCTCGTCTGTCTCGCCTCCCTCGTCTCGTCTGTCTCGCCTCCCTCGTCTCGTCTGTCTCGCCTCCCTCGTCTCGTCTGTCTCGACTCTCTCGTCTCGTCAGTCAGCTCGCCTCCCTCTTCTCGTCAGTCAGCTCGACTCACTCTTCTCGTCAGTCAGCTCGCCTCCCTCGTCTCGTCAGTCAGCTCGCCTCCCTCTTCTCGTCTGTCTCGCCTCCCTCTTCTCGTCAGTCTCGCCTCCCTCTTCTCGTCAGTCTCGCCTCCCTCTTCTCGTCAGTCTCGCCTCCCTCTTCTCGTCAGTCTCGCCTCCCTCTTCTCGTCAGTCTCGCCTCCCTCTTCTCGTCAGTCTCGCCTCCCTCTTCTCGTCAGTCTCGCCTCCCTCTTCTCGTCAGTCTCGCCTCCCTCTTCTCGTCAGTCTCGCCTCCCTCTTCTCGTCAGTCTCGCCTCCCTCTTCTCGTCAGTCTCGCCTCCCTCTTCTCGTCAGTCTCGCCTCCCTCTTCTCGTCAGTCTCGCCTCCCTCTTCTCGTCAGTCTCGCCTCCCTCTTCTCGTCAGTCTCGCCTCCCTCTTCTCGTCAGTCTCGCCTCCCTCTTCTCGTCAGTCTCGCCTCCCTCTTCTCGTCAGTCTCGCCTCCCTCTTCTCGTCAGTCTCGCCTCCCTCTTCTCGTCAGTCTCGCCTCCCTCTTCTCGTCAGTCTCGCCTCCCTCTTCTCGTCAGTCTCGCCTCCCTCTTCTCGTCAGTCTCGCCTCCCTCTTCTCGTCAGTCTCGCCTCCCTCTTCTCGTCAGTCTCGCCTCCCTCTTCTCGTCAGTCTCGCCTCACTCTTCTCGTCAGTCTCACCTCATTCTCGTCTGTCTCGCCGCACCTCACTTTTCTCGTCTGTCTCGCCTCACTCTTCTCGTCAGTCTCGCCCCACTCTTCTCGTCAGTCTCGCCCCACTCTTCTCGTCAGTCTCGCCTCACTCTTCTCGTCAGTCTCGCCTCACTCTTCTCGTCAGTCTCGCCTCACTCTTCTCGTCAGTCTCGCCTCACTCTTCTCGTCAGTCTCGCCTCACTCTTCTCGTCAGTCTCGCCTCACTCTTCTCGTCAGTCTCGCCTCACTCTTCTCGTCAGTCTCGCCTCACTCTTCTCGTCAGTCTCGCCTCACTCTTCTCGTCAGTCTCGCCTCACTCTTCTCGTCAGTCTCGCCTCACTCTTCTCGTCAGTCTCGCCTCACCTCACTTTTCTCGTCTGTCTCGCCTCACCTCACTTTTCTCGTCTGTCTCACCTCACCTCACTTTTCTCGTCTGTCTCGCCTCACTCTTCTCGTCAGTCTCACCCCACTCTTCTCGTCAGTCTCACCTCACTCTTCTCGTCGGTCTCGCCTCACCTCACTTTTCTCGTCTGTCTCGCCTCGCTCTTCTCGTCAGTCAGCTCGACTCACTCTCCTCACTGGAGAAATGAAATCTGATCTGTGATGCGACTGTCGTTCGGCACGCTGCATTGAGCAGCCGCGTTCAGTTTTTAATTGTAGTGTCTGTTCTTTTACTGAACTAAATTATTTTTATTACTATAAAAAATCAAAGCGACGGTGGGGGTCGGTGGGCAAGTAACGTAACCGGTGTTGCGGCTTATCACCGCCAGCACCGTCTAGCGCGGCAAGCCTACTGGAGCGCCAACTGCAGAGCTTGTGCAAACATCCACATGGCTATGATCAGGTGCTTTAACTGCTGTTTTCTCACCCCTCTCATTTTTTGTGTGTTTATTTGTTATTGAGAGGAAAGTGCGCAGCACATATTTACATATTCATCTAAACGCTGCTCTGAGCAGCATAGGCAGTGTTGGGATGTTAACTAAACAGTAAACTGCCATAAAAGTATTTTTAACTTTTTTACCCCTTCCTGAAGAATGATAAAGAGCTTTGCTGTCAGTATCTCGGGGCATTTAGGATGGAAGATGAATGGATGTCATTTCTTTTAAAAGGCCAAGTGGGACGCTCTTTACCTGATTGCTCTTTGATGATTCGCTGTGCTATCCTGTCAATGGTGCCCAGTTTCTGTGTGAACAAGTCCAGATAGTCACCCATGGCGGCAAACTCCACTGGCCGTGCCCTCACTTTATAACCGCCCGTCACATACTTCACAGATTCCCCCATTTTAGTCAGCAGAGCCAGGCCTTGACGCTTATTCAAGTCCTGAAAGTCAAGCATACAGTACATCAATTCTGTCTCTCGGCCAAGAAAACCCTGCCAAAGCCAATGAAAACAATGAGTTTCTGGAACAAGCTTTCCATGTTGGAATATATAGCCTACTAGCAACATATTGCAAAAGCTCAATGTTGTCGGGCTACTCTCAAAGAGACATCTGGATCTGGTCATAAACAGCTAGTGAGGGTTTCCAGCTCTGGCAATGCAACACATTGCCAGCACAGACACGCTGAGAAACTTGAAGCATGACACATTTATGATTCCTGTACACTTAAGAATTATGTTTCCAACTTTCTTTTCATTTATAAGGTCAGTTTGGATTCCCTTCGGGAACATTAAAGTCATAATGATTTGAAGATATTTTCTTCTGTATTGTTTTGAAATGGATTTTCTAAAGACACATTTTCTAAAGAAAAACTGTAGGGCGGGGCTTGGCTCTGTGAATCGGTTGTTGATTGGATGTCGAGATGTGGGCGTGGCATTTAAGAGTGGAGGCAGATGAACATGACCTTGCAGGGGCGGAGTTTAAACTGACTAAATGATTGGATAAGACCTGCGTATGTCACCATAGAGAAATATTGTTTCATCAGAAGACCTAGTCATGATATTTAATTCAACATTACAAAACATTTTTAAAAAATGAAACACGAATGAATCGTTCACTACAAGATCTATAATTAGTGCTGGGTAGATTATTTACAAATTGTAGTGCGTTATTGATTAACAGATTACATGATGAAAACTGTAGTTAGTAACGTAATCTAGGTTACTCATTTTAGGTGATCCATTCGGACTACTTTTTAGATCACTTTTTATCTAACTTGTTTTAAACTTATCATTAAACATACTGTTTTGATAGAAAAAAACAATCAAAGAGAAAGACAATTCTATTTATCAACATCATAAAATGCATTAAATATTACAACTTGCATAATTATTTGCTTCAGACATAGTCTAATTGCTTGAGAGGTGATTTTTTTCCCACTCAATTCAGAAGCATGGTTTGCCAATTTATTTAGATGACATTTACATGACCATTTTATATTGTGAATATAGTCAAAGCTAAATGGTATGACACACAGCAGGATTTTCAGAAAGGAATATGTGACCCTGGACCACAAAACCAGTCATAAGGGTCCATTTTTCAAAATTGAGATGTATACATCAGCTGAAAGCTGAATAAATAAGCACTCCATTGATTTATGGTTTGTTAGGATAGGACAATATTTGGCCGAGATACAACTATTTGAAAATCTGGAATCTGAGGGTGTTTTGAAAGAATCTAAATATTGAGAAAATTATCTTTAAAGTTGTCCAAATGAAGTTCTTAGCAATGCATAATACTAATCAAAAATTAAGTTTTAATATATTTACGGTAGGAAATGTACAAAATATCTTCATGGAACATGATCTTTACTTAATATCCTAATGATTTTTGGCATAAAAGAAAAATCTATAATTTTGACCCATACAATGTATTTTTGGCTATTGCTACAAATATACCCCAGCGACTTAACACTGCTTTTGTGCTCCAGGGTCACATATTTCGAGTACTGGATTGTTGGAATCGGATTACGTAATCCAGATTACATGTAATCAGTTACTACCCAGCTCTGTCTATAATATGCAGTGTGAGTTTTTAATTTCATGCTGACTTTAAAGCACTGACCTTTGCTGAGAGAAATGCATTGAAGTGTTCATTGAAAGAGAGCACCGGATGGTCTGCTACACGTTTGAGGAACTTGTCTAGTGCCTTTCTCCTGGTCTCCACAAACTCCTCTGAGAAGCGGTCCACCACTCCCTTCATAACAAACTTCTCAGGCAAAGGCTAAAGGATTGCAGACAGGAGAAACGACATCAAACGTAGTCCATCGCGTGGTCTGAAATAGCAGATTTTGCTTAATCTTGGCAGCAATATCAGTGACTGGACCAAAAACAATCGCCGCAACATTGAATGGCTCATTAAATAACAGCTAGTTGTATAAATGTGCAGATGCAATAAAACTAGAGGTTTTGAGAGCAGTGCATTGAGGGCTTTTCCTCTACCTACTGGAATAAGGTGGGTGGGTTGGCTTTCCTCTAATTTGTTCCTCAGCCAGTCAAAGTCCTGGTAGCGTCGCCTTAACGAGTACTCAGGCAGGTCGAACTCTGTTCTGGTGGTCTGTAGGTCACACAGAAACACACAGAAACACAGTGATTTACAGGTACAGTTAAACTGGAGCAAACCGATAGTTTAGGGATCAATCAACCATTCAGATTAACCACTAATCCACAATCGGCCAATGAACTCTGTATAATTGGACCAATAATAGGAGCATCTCGCTGCAGTCGAGCAATGTCCCGTCTGTGCGCTTCGCCCTCTGACCTTTGTGCAGACTCTGTAGGTGATGTATGTCTCCATAGTAGACACGTGTTTCTTGGGGTCTTCTACAGTCACAAACAGATCGCGTGTTTCTCCGTCCAGATCGTCATCGAGCTGTAGTCGGTTCAGCAGAGATGAAGAGGAGGTGGGGCTTGAGGTGTCTACTGGAGTCCCATTGGGCAGGATCAGGTCCTGGGGGCGGGGAAAAAAGACTTAATGGAACATCGATATTTTGAAAACCGAAGAATGTAAACATGAATATACACACAGAAAACCCTCCAAAAGCAGCGATTCCCACAATTCAAAAAGAGGTTCATCAGTTAGAGATGAACAACAGTGAAACAGTTCTGCTCTGGTGATATTAGACCCAGAAGAAAACTTCAAGACTTCATTCAAGGCTGAATGTGCAGTGCTCCTGCTTTCTTCCTCTCTTCAATGTCCTCCAGAAATGAACGACTTTATATGTTTTTATATATGCACAGTGTTTTCTTAAGCAATCCTATGCATGCGGTTTAAAAGTTGGTAGAAATAATAAAAATGACATCTGATGAAAAAAAAAGGAAATTAATTCTTAAAAGGGTCGGTCACAAATAAAAAGTGGATGTATGCCAAAAAGCATCTAGAAACTATGCATTTACAAACCCAATTCCAAAAAAGTTGGGACACTGTACAAATTGTGAGTAAAAAAGGAATGGAATAATTTACAAATCTCATAAACTTATATTTTATTCACAATAGAATATAGATAACATATCAAATGTTGAAAGTGAGACATTTTGAAATGTCATGCCAAATATTGGCTCATTTTGGATTTCATGAGAGCTACACATTCCAAAAAAGTTGGGACAGGTAGCAATAAGAGGCCGGAAAAGTTAAATGTACATATAAGGAACAGCTGGAGGACCAATTTGCAACTTATTAGGTCAATTGGCAACATGATTGGGTATAAAAAGAGCCTCTCAGAGAGGCAGTGTCTCTCAGAAGTCAAGATGGGCAGAGGATCACCAATTCCCCCAATGCTGCGGCGAAAAATAGTGGAGCAATATCAGAAAAGAGTTTCTCAGAGAAAAATTGCAAAGAGTTTAAAAGTTATCATCATCTACAGTGCATAATATCATCCAAAGATTCAGAGAATCTGGAACAATCTCTGTGCGTAAGGGTCAAGGCCGGAAAACCATACTGGATGCCCGTGATCTTCGGGCCCTTAGACGGCACTGCATCACATACAGGAATGCTACTGTAATGGAAATCACAACATGGGCTCAGGAATACTTCCAGAAAACATTGCCG